ACGCCGTTGACCCGGTCGAGGTTACTGGTGACTCTGGTGCTGCTGCGGGTGCTGAGCCTGGGGGTGCTGACTCTGGGGGTGCTGTGCGCGGGGGTGCTGAGCCTGGGGGTGCTACTGCTGGGGGTGCTGGGCCTGAGGGTGCTACTGTGGTGGGTGCGGAGCCTGGGGGTGCTGAGCCGGGGGGTGCTGTGCCTGGAGGTGCTGGGCCTGGGGGTGCTGGGTCGGGAGCTGCTGAGCCTGGGGGTGCTGAGCTGGGAGCTGCTGAGCCTGGGGGTGCTGCGTCTGGAGCTGCTGAGCCTGGGGTTTCTCCTGCTGCTGCGTCTCGCCGGGAGCCCCTCTCTCCACAGGAGCTGCGTGAGTGGTTCGCTCGCCGCTGGAGGCGTGCTGCTGAGTCTGGAGGTGCTGCTGGAGCTGGAGCTGGAGCTTCTTCGACAGTCGAGGGTGCGGGTGCTGCCGGTCCCGGAGCTGCTGGACCTGCGGGTCCTCCTGGAGCTGGAGCTACTGAGGGCGTTCGTGCTGAGCCTGCTGCTGTTGGTCCTGCCGCTGGAGGTGTGGGTGGCGCTGGTGCTGTCGCTGAGGGTGCTGGTGCTGTCCCTGCTGAGTCTGGAGCCGCCGCGCGGCCTCGGCCGTACTTCGTTCCGCTCCTGCAGCAGGTTCTTGGTCTTTCTCCTCCAGTAGAGGGTCCACCGCCTGTCCAGTCGCAGTCCCTGCTGGAGCCTTCCTCTCCACTACCTGCTCCCTCTCCTTACACTGGTCCTACTGGAGGTCTTGCTGAGCGTCGTGAGCCTGCGTCTCGTCCCGCGTCGCCTGTTCGTGCTGCTCGCGCTAGTGGTTGCAGTTCGCGTCAGCGTCCTCCTCCTGTTCCTGGCACGCACCGGATGTCTTTGCGTCCGTCCACTGCTCCTCTGCGTGCCCCTTTGCCTTCTCCTCCTGAGTCCTCTCTTCCTGCGCTTGCCGACCCTGAGTCGGACTCTCTTCGTGCTGCCAGTCCTACTGTCACGCGTCTGCTTGCTACTGTCGTCACTGACCCCTCTTTTGAGTCCACTGCTGCGTCTGCTCTAGTCGCTGAGCTCGTCGACTTTGCTGCTCGCTGTCGTCTCGACTACGCTGCTAGTCTTGTTGCTGAGTCTGCGTCTGTCTGTCCTCCGTCCGTCGGGGGTGAGTGTGCTCTTAGCACGGACGTCCTAGAGGACAGGCAGGAGGAGTTACAGTGTCTAGCGGCTGCTTCACCTCATCTCGCGTCTGTACTGCTTGCCCCTGAGGGAGACCCGGATGCACTGGACATCCCGACTCCGCGTTCTTACGCGGAGGCCGTAGAGGGTCCCTACTCCTCTCAGTGGCAGGCAGCTATGGATGCAGAGATGGCTTCCTGGAAGTCCACAGGCACCTACGTTGACGCGGTTCCCCCTCCTGGGGCGAACATCGTCAGTGGCATGTGGATCTTCAGGGTGAAGCGGCCGCCGGGCTCTCCACCTGTCTTCAAGGCACGGTACGTTGCTCGTGGCTTCAGTCAGCGGCAGGGAGTTGACTACTTTCAGACCTTCTCTCCCACCCCGAAGATGACTACTCTTCGGGTGCTGCTGCACATAGCCGCTCAGCGCGACTACGAGCTTCACTCTCTCGACTTCAGCACTGCGTTCTTGCAGGGTAGCCTGCACGAGGAGATCTGGCTTCGCCGTCCACCTGGCTTCACTGGGACTTTCCCTCCTGGCACCCAGTGGAGCCTCCGACGGCCAGTCTACGGTCTCCGCCAGGCACCGCGTGAGTGGCACGACACACTGAGGACTACGCTTGCGGCTCTTGGGTTTGCTCCTTCTACTGCTGACCCGTCGCTGTTTCTTCGCACCGACACTTCCCTGCCGCCGTTCTACATCCTCGTGTACGTCGACGACTTGGTCTTTGCCACAGCGGACACTGCTGGACTCGCCTACGTGAAGTCCGAGCTGCTGAAGAGACACACGTGCACAGACCTGGGTGAACTGCGCAGCTACCTTGGCTTGCAGATCACTCGGGACAGAGCACGCCGCACCATTACCTTGACTCAGTCACACATGGTGCAGCAGGTCCTTCAGCGCTTCGGCTTCACGTACTCCTCGCCTCAGGCCACTCCTCTGCCTACTCGCCACTCACTCTCAGCTCTGCCTTCGGATGAGTCCGTAGAGTCGAGTGGTCCGTATGCAGAGCTGGTTGGCTGCCTCATGTACCTGATGACCTGCACACGACCTGACCTTGCATACCCTCTGAGCATTCTTGCACGCTATGTTGCTCCTGGGAGACACAGACCGGAGCACATGGCTGCAGCTAAGAGGGTATTGCGCTACCTGTGCAGTACGTCGGGCATGGGGCTAGTGCTTGGAGGGCGGAGTCCAGTGGTCCTTACCGGCCACGCGGACGCTTCTTGGGCTGACGACCAGGCTACGCAGCGGTCGTCACAGGGTTACACCTTCAGCCTTGGTTCCGGCTCTATCTCGTGGCGGTCTACTCGCTCGTCTTCGGTTCTCGGCTCCAGTTGTGAGGCTGAGATCTACGCCGGGGCCATGGCTGCACAGGAGCTTCGCTGGCTCACCTACCTGCTGACTGACCTTGGAGAGCCGCCTCGTTCTCCTCCAGTGCTGTACGTAGACAACAAGGCTATGCTGGCCTTGTGTCGAGAGCAGCGCTTGGAGCACAGAACGAAGCACATTGCTCTCCGCTACTTCCTTGCTCGTGAGCTGTAGCAGCGTGGTCAGTTGCGACTTGCGTACGTGGCCTTTGAGGCCAACACTGCTGATGTGTTCACCAAGGCACTCGCGCCTTGTGACCATCAGCGCTTTTGCACCCAGCTGGGTCTTGTGCCTGTCTTGCCTCACTTGCTCTCCTCTTGACTTCACTTGTACTGTGACATATATATATGCCTGCTCTTGTTTGTCTAGTTTTATATATATGTCTGTACTCCTGCATGTGAACTGGCCTCTGGCCCTACTCTTGTGCTCGGACTGTGTGGTGACTTTGTGATCCACCCTGAGCTTGTTTTGCTTTGCTTGACTGGTCTTGTGACCCCTTGTTCTCCCCCACTTTGCCTATGGGGGTGTGTCAGATTTATATGACATAGTTGCTGTAGGCTATAGTGGGGTAGCACATATGGGGTACAGGGTTTCTAGGGTTGTATTTGTACCCAATCTTTCCTTAGTCATTTCATTCCTGCTTACTCATTTTCACATCATCACCCCCGACAAGATCCTGAGCCACAGAGTTCGCGACCCTCGAGGAGCCCGAAAAGTGGAGTTCCTGATCCGCTGGAAAGATCGTACCCCCACCGAGGACAATTGGGTTCCCCTGGAGAAAGTTGAAACTCACCCCGTCGTCACCGACTACCTGCGTAGCCGCAATTTCCGAGACATCCACGCGCTTTCATAAGGAGGACCTCCTTAGGAGGGGGGGTAGTGTAAGGAAATTCCCTTTTCCTTACTTCGCGTCCCTGCTCAACGCGTACATCACTATAGCACCTCAGTCAGCACCGTTACCACTCGCGACCATCGCATGATTCATCATCCCGCCCTTTTTCGCACATCGCATCCCGACCTCACGGCTCGGCTGGTAACCCGCGCTCCGGACCTACGCTTCGACACTTTCCCAACCTCAGTCCCAGGCTCGTCGCGCGACCATTACCGTTACCACTGTAGTTTCGCTATATAATGTTCGCTCATGCCTTCGCTCATTTGTATTCTTGCTTCGATAGTGCAATTCTAGTTCGTTCACTCAATTGCACTCGTAACAGTCAACCTGAATTCGAGACTGAACCTGGTTCAGGCTATAGAATTTGTAGACAAGCTGGCAGCTGGGCAGACCGTTTCCCTGACAAGGGTGATGAACAACGGAATTTCAGTAAAAAATCATACAAGATTGGCCCCAATGGTATTGCAATTATTACGTTTTAGGACGTTCGCCGTTTGACTGGCCGACGTGGACAAGTTCATGAATTTTCCCGTCGTCTAAACCACATCCCTTTGCCACGCAGATATCTAGGTGGAACAGACGCCTTTATTTTCCAAGCGCATCGCATTCTTCATCCCGAAGCGCAGTGTCGCAATCTTCTTTTTTCCAACTTGCTCTCAAAATTGAGTCCAGGGGGGTCCGCTCCACGACCCCAGGTCCCCAGCCTTACCTCCCCACTTACCGAATCTCCAAATCTCACAGCCATGCACAGACAGAACAGGCAGCATGATTATAAAACCCTTGCTGCTCAAATCATGCATCTTTCCCGGCTTCCTTGCCCCTCGATCTGATAAGCCAGGTGCGGCATCCTTTGAAAGGCGGAGCTTATTCGACGGGCAAAGGCCTCCTCCGTTGCCACTGAAGAAGATTCCTGCACGAGACACTTTCAGTGGGAGATTTCCAGAAGCACTCGCTCGCCGAATGCCATTCGCATTGCATCGCCCCAGAATCTCTGAAAACTCCACGTTCGTGAAACTCACATTTCGTTATTTTTTCGTTGCAAAGTACCAAGCGCGTTGCGAGCCGCCAACGGGAAAAGACGCGCGCTGGATGGGGATATGATTATCCGGATTGAGTCGTAATTTCTGAGGGCACATCGTGTTCAATAGCACTACTAGTAGAACGCCACATGGACCCCGCCCGCCGGGATCAGAATGCGGCATTACTACTAGTGGTTTCAGGCGTAACTTTCTTACGACTCGTAACTTTGCTCGGAGCACCAATTCTCTTCGCCGCCGTGGCTCGACATCATGATGAAGCGCGGCCGACCAATTCAGCCACATAGGAGCAGCAAGAATGTGAATGCCACCATCCCCATAAACGAAAACGGGATTTCCAGAAGCGGGTATGATCATGCGCCACCGGAGGCCTGGAGCGGCGGAGGTAACCACCTGGGTCCCAGGGCTCTCTTATTTTCACCTCCAGGAGATTTCACTACATATAACATTCCAAGTCCCACTGCTGCTACCACTACGCACAGCCGGACTCCCGCCGCTTGGAGCGTCGAACCTCAGGCGGAGCCTGGCATGTTTACGCGCAGCGGAACGAGTAACAGCGTTTCAACGGTCGCCGCACGGAATAGAGGCGCAGACGGGGGCTCAGGCGGAGCCTCAGGAGGAGTTTTTGGCGGAGGCTCAGGGGGAGGCTATGGCGGAGGCTCGGGCGGAGTCTCAGGGGGAGGTTATCATGGCGGAGGCCCAGGAGGAGGCTATGGCGGAGGCTCAGGAAATGGCTTTGGCGGAGGCTCAGGGGGAGTATCAGGGGGAGGCTATGGCGGAGGCTCAGGGGGAGACTTTGGCGGAGGCTCAGGGGGAGGCTTTGGCGGAGGCTCAGGGAGAGCATCAGGGGGAGGCTATGGCGGAGGCTTTGGCGGAGGCTCAGAGGGAGGCTTTGGCGGAGGCGGAGGCTTAATAGGGGGAGACCCAAGTGGAAGCTTGGGCGGGGGACCAGGCGGAAGGTCAGGCGGAGTGTTTGGCGGAGGCCTACTAAGCGCAAGCGCTGGCGTAGGCGGCGCAGGCGGGCTCTCTGGCGACCTGACTCGGATCAACGAGCCCTTTGCGTTTGAGCCGGATGAACCAGCTGGTAGTGTGCTGTTGCCCTTTGCGCCGACTCAAACGCCGACTAGTGGGCTGCTGGGATCGACGCCATGGTATTTCGGTGTTGGCGCCGGCGGCGGCGGCGCCACCGGTGGTAGTTTTAGCAGCAGCGGCAGACACAGCGACGTTCCCCCGGAGCAGTTCCTCCGATGGACCAACGAGGTGAGGCGTGTTTATAGCAGACTTAACAGGTGTCTTTCTGTGTATTTTGAGTCGCCTCAAAGCAGCAGCGGCAGACACGGCGACGTTCCCCCTCGGAGCAGTTCCTCCGATGGACCAACGAGGTGGGCGGCCGGCAGGCGTTCGTTATAAGCCGCCTCGTTAGTACCAGCAAGGCCGCCAGGCAGTGGCTTCAGGTGCAGCTGCTTCACAGCCTCCTTGATCGCCCTGCTTCGCCCTTCCCTTATCCCCTCCCGGCTCCAGGAGGACAGGGTGTTGCTGCGCCACTTCACGCCCTATGGCACGCGCAGTCAAGCAATAAGTCTTTTCCCTCCCCCTTCCCCCTTCCTTCTTCCCCCTTCCCCATTCCGCCTTATACCCTCCTGGCCCCAGGAGGACAGGGTGTTGCTGCGCCACGTCACGTGCTACGGAACGCGCAACTGGGGGCTGCTGCAGCGAAGCCGCTCGCTGCCTCTGCGCGACAACAAGGCATGCTGCAACCGCTTCATTCTTCTCAAAAAGTGAGTCGCACCGCACTTCACCGCACAACCGGTTTATCCTTTCTAATAAGTGAGTTAGTATTATCATTGTTACTATCAATGTTAGTAATATTTTTATTACTAAAACTTTTACTAATACTATTGCTACTATATTGTTTGGTTCCGTTTTCCATGAGCAATTGTGTGGTCCGTCTATTTTGCCATCACCATGCCATCACTAAGGTCGTATCCCAGCCTAATGTCAAGAAGTTGGTGTCAAGAAGTTTGCGCACGCGATTGGTTGAAAAAAAACGCTTGGCCAATCGCATTGGCCAGGCATATTTGTTGGACAAATCGGGTGCGCAAACTTCTTGACACCAACTTCTTGACACCAACTTCTTGACACTTGGCTGGGATACGACCTAAGGCTTTATGATATGCCACGTGCCCCATGCTCTCACGCCATGCCACGTGCCCCATGCTCTCACGCCATGCCACGTGCCCCATGCTCTCACGCCATGCCACGTGCCCCATGCTCTCACGCCATGCCACGTGCCCCATGCTCTCACGTCATGCCACGTGCCCCATACTCTCACGTCATGCCACGTGCCCCATGCTCTCACGTCATGTCACGTGCCCCATCCTCTCACGTCGTGCCACGTGCCCCATCCTCTCACGTCATGCTACGTGCCCCAAGAGCAGGAGGTTCCTGGAGAAACACAAGTCTCAAGCCACAGCTACAGCTACAGCCATGGCTACAGCTATGGTTACAGATATGGCTACAGCCATGGTTTCTCACCAGCAGGGTGGGGGGAGCGCGACTGAGATACAGATTCAAAGGGCTGCTGCTACAGCTCCGGTTGGAACGAGTCAGGCACAGCTACAGCCCAGGACGGCTGCTGCTACAGCTACAGCCATGGCTACAGCTATGGTTTCACAGCAGCAGGGTGGGGGGAGTGCGACACAGCTACAGGCCAAGACGGCTGCTGCTACAGCTGAGGGTGCAACTGCCAAGGAACATGCCAGGGCTTCTCTTCCTGAGACCCTTGCTACGGCTCCTAGCAATGCTACAGTGGCGTCGCCAGCTGTAGCGCCGTCAGCTGCAGCTACTGTCGCTAAATCCGTTCCAATTGTGTCAGTCACAGCTGCGACGGCTGCTGCTACAGCAGCAGCAGCACCACCACCACCACCACCACCTGCAGCAACAGCAGGAACAGCAGCAGCAGCAGCAGCAGCAGGGGAAAGAGAGTACTCAGCAGCGTTGGGAGAGGAAATTATGCGTGATGGAGAGGAGAGTAGAGGGATCAGAGAGGATAGCGGGAAAAGAGTGTGGGAAGGGGAGAAATCAAGGAAAAGGGCAGGGGAGAGGGGGGCAAGGGGGGTGGGGCAGAGACAAGCGGAGAGGGAAGGGGCAGTGGAAGTTGAAGGGGAAAGGGAGGGGGAAGGAGAAGCGGCGGGGCAGAGTGGGGTTTGCGGGGCGTTGGAACAGCAGCTAGCAATGCTATTTGGGTTAGATCAGGGGTGGGATAGGGGGGGAGAGGCGTACTCTATTGATGCCCCTGCTGCGGCTGCTGGTGGTGGTCCGGCCTTCTCTGCTCCGGCAGCTGTTGCTGGGCGGTTGAGTGGCGTGGGGAGCGGTGAAGATGCTGCCAGTGATGCTGCTGCCAGGGATGCTGCTGCTGCTGCTGCTGCTGGAGTGGATGGTGGGGGGTGCAGTGAGGTGCTGGACGGTGGTGGAATGCGGAGGGTGGATGGAGGGAGAGAGGAAGGTGCAGTGGCAATGGGGGACGGAGAGAGGAAGCGGAAGGTTCCCCCGTGTGGGCTCGATAGGGCCATACGGTCATTCTCAGACCTCTACCCCTTGTTTCAGCAGCAGCAGCAGCAGCAGCAGCAGCAGCAGCAGCAGCAGCAGCATCATCATCATCATCATCATCATCATCAGCAGCAGCAGCAGCAGCAGCAGCAGCAGCAGCAGCAGCAGCAGCAGCAGCAGCAGCAGCCCCAGCATCAGCAGTATCATTTGCAACAGCAGTGGTATGGGCAGCAGCAACAGCAGCAGTCGGTGGGCTTGGAACCTCGATTTTCGGAGACCGAGAGGTGGTGGGAAATGCAACAGCAGCATCAGCAGCATCATCATCTTCATCATCATCATCATCAGCAGCAGCAGCAGCAGCAGCAGCAGCAGCACGAGCAGCAGCAAGTGTTCATCTCTCAAGAAGTTCCCTGGACTTCCGTTTCCCACGCAAGCACGTCAACATCTCATGCGGGCATGTCAATGTCTCACGATGCCACCACTTCGACTTCTCACACTACCATGGAGGGTGTGAGCTCTCAGCAGGTAGCTGCTGCTTTTTCTCCTAGATATGCTTCTGCTTCTGCTCCTGCTGCTCCTGCTGCTTCTTCTGCTTCTCCTGCCTCGACTGCCCCTGCTGCCCCTGCTTCCCTTGCTGCTCCTCCTGCTCCTGCTGCTTCTCCTGCCTCTGCTTCCCCTGCTGCTCCTGCTGCCCTTGCTGCTCCTGCTGCTCCTTCTGCCATTGCTGCTCCTGCTGCTCCTGCTGCCATTGCTGCTCCTGCTGCTTCTCCTGCTCCTGCTGCTTCTCCTGCTCCTGCTGCTTCTCCTGCTCCGGCTGCCCCTCCTGCTCCTGCTGCCCCTCCTGCTCCTCTTGCTGCTCCTGCTGCTTCTACTCCTGGTGCACCTGCTGCACCTTCACCGGTGGCAAGTTCAGCAGTATATGAATCCCTGGTAGGCGTGAGCTCACAGCAGGTAGCGGCGGCAGCTGCTGCTGCTGCTCCTGCTTCTCCTGCTCCACTCACGGCAACCCAAGCCAATTCTTCGGCAGTATATGAATCCCTGGTAGGCGCGAGCTCACAGCAGGTAGCGGCGGCGATACTGGCATGGGAGGGAACAGGTTCGCTGCTGGAGCAGCGCAGGAGGGAGGAGAGGCGATCGCGTGCTTTCGAGGAGGCACAGAGGCTGTGGGAGGGGAAGGAACCGGGGCTGGAGCAGCGGAGGAGGAGGGAGGAGAGGCGGGGGAGTGAGGGATTGTGGAGTGGCGGTGGGGGGGATGTGATGTGGAGTGCTAAGGAGAGTGGTGGGAGAGACGGAGTGGGGGCTGGTGACGCAGGAGAGATGCGGGGGTTGGGAGGGGGTGGAATGCTCCCGGGTGGAATGCTCCCGGGTGGAATGCTCGGTGTAGAGCAGGCAACCAGGGAAAATCAGGCGATTTTAGAGTCGAATCAAGAGTTGTCTCATCACGTGCAGCGTTTAGGAGCCAGTGGAGTGCAAGGGACGGATGGGCACACAAGGGGCAATAATGCGGTTGAGGTACGAAGGATGGAGGAGGAAAGGAGTGCAGAGGAAGCGAGGGAGGAGACAAGGAGGGAGGGGACGAGGACGGATGAGGAAAGGGGAGGGGAAGAGAGGAGGGAGGCGAGACTTTGGGAGGAGGAGAGGAGGGGGGGTGAAAGTTGGGAGAAGGAGAGACTTCAAGGGTCATGGCGGTGGGATGGAATGGGGTGGGAGCAGGTGGGAAGTGGTGGGAATGGAAGGCCATGGACTGCACTGGATGGGGGTCATCCCTGGATGAGAACGGTCAGTGACGCAGAGAGAAGTGTGCTGGGGCACATGCAAGAGCAGAATCAGCAGCAGGTGCAGCAGCAGCAGCAGCAGCAGGTGCAGGAGCAGCAGCAGCAGGTGCAGCAACGACAGGTGCAGCAGCAGAAGCAGCAGCAGCAGCAGCAGCAGCAGCAGCAGCAGCAGCAGCAGCAGCAGCAGCAGCAGCAGCAGCAGCAGCAGCAGCAGCAGCAGCAGCAGCAGCAGCAGCAGCAGGTGCAGCAACAACAGGTGCAGCGACAGGAGTTGCGGCAATATGAGACACAGCAATATCAGGTGCCACATCAGGTGCAAAATCAGGTGCTGCATTATCAGGTGCCACATTCGGCACAGCTACATGTGCAGCAAGGCACACAACATCAGGTGTCTGAATCGCGGGAGCAGCAGCACCACCACCACCATCACCATCACTGGCAGCAGCATCGCCACCGCCAGTGGCAGCAGCAGCAGCAGCAACAACAGGAAATACAGAAACAACAGGAGCAGCAGAAGCAGCAGCAGCACCAGCAGCAACAACAAGAAATACAGAAACAACAGGAGCAGCAGAAGCAGCAGCAGCACCAGCAGCAGAAGCAGCAACAACAACAACAGCAACAACAACAGCAACAACAACAGCAACACCACCAACAACAGCAACAACGGCGGCAGCAGCAGCAGCAGCAACAAGAACAGCAACAACAGCAGCAACAACAACGAAAGCAGCAACAGCAACTACATCAGCAACAGCAGCAGCTTTACCAGCAGCAGTATCAGCAATGGCATCAGCATCAGTCTCAGCAGCATCAGCAGCAGCAATACCAGCACCAGAATCAGCAGCAGCATCAGCAGCAGCAATACCAGCACCAGAATCAGCAGCAGCATCAGGCAGTGCAAGCAGAAGGAGCCCATGTGGCTGGCATCCCAGCAGCACGACCCTTAGGAGCCCAGCATCCACTAATAAAGCCCAACGAGACTCTTGAGACACCCTTGCCGAGTCATTTTCAAGGACCGGACAAACAATGCGAGCTTGAAACGACCCGGGTAGAGACACAAGCATTGGAAGTCTTGCCATTGGCCCCCAGTAATCAGCCTCCGGTGTTCTCGACCTCCCCAATTGATATCACGATGAATGCACATTTGACAAACCATACGCCTCTTATGCGTCCTAGTTATTCCCTACAACCATTTCCATCTCATTCGCAAACTGCACTCCTACGTAACCTTCCTCCCCCATCTACTCATCCAGGTCGTACTGGTATCGCATCCCACCCTGATTTTCACATTAGCTCATGTGGGCTCCTAACCTTGCCAGAGGACGCTGCTGCTAACATGCTGACTACGATTTTATGTGGGAATGGTGCAAATGGCATGATTGCCAGTGACCTCGATTGGTCAACGGTCGCTGACCATTATGGTGGTGATTTGATAGAGTGGCTTGAAGACGCTGAAGGATAGGTGAATGCATTGCACATGCAAGGAAAACATGTCAGTATTGTCTTGTATATAGTGTTGCCACACAGTTCTGTTTACATTTTTTATTTTGTCTCAGCGATGCATGGCAACGAGAGATAACCATGGCGAGTATCAAATTGGAGTTGCTGATTCGCGGAAATTGATGTTGCTGGGTGACGGCAGCATCCAGTCCGGGTGACGGTCGAGCTTTGTTGTTGACCACAACTCTCCCGAGTTTCGGGAAGCTGCGTTACAGCACAACTGTGGTGTCACGTGAGCAACATTTCGCTGTCACCAAGGGACAACTGCTAACGAATTACATCAATCCGTCTCCCATGACCAAGCGCGAGATTATTATTGCGCACGAGAAAAAGTGCCGATTAGCGTCAGCATCAAGGATCCTATGACCTGGCGGCAGTTCCTCCATCACGAGAGTTGGTGACATGTTTGTGACTTCCTCTTAGTCGCAGATTTTCATCTGGCCCGTACGTACAGATGTTTGCGAAAGAGATCGCAGGTCGGATACTGTATATCTTCAAAATCCCGACCAGTACGCTGCATGTCATATCGGGTCATACGTATCTTCATCCTCTCTCCACGAGTCATGTCAAGAGACCCTCCCTTGCCTCATTAGAAAGGTGCTATTTAGGAAAGTATGGCCTATTTACAGAGTGTATTAATCACAAATACCCTTCGGGTCTGCTGTCGTCTTCTTCAATCTTGCAAGTGTGGGTTGCAACTGTGCTAGCTTTCGGTTTTCCAAAGCCACCCTTCTCTCAAATCCGATCCAAGTGTGCCGACATTATAATTAAAGCAGTACTACAGTAATACGGGAAGAGAAGGGATGGAAGTTGGAACCTTGTCAGGTAACAATGTTTTGGAAACACAACCAGCTAACGATTGCAAACAACCACCCGAGGAATTGGACATTGTAATGTCGAATTTTTCTTCTCTTGGCTAAGTAACGAAGCTCACTGAAATTCGCGTGCGCACGAAGGTTGACGGGTTTGAGGCCATCACTGCTACTCCCAGCGCCATCACTGCTACTCCCTACAGTTCTTCAACCGACTCCCCGAATCCCCGTCATCGTTCACCCACCTGGCAGTGCAAGGTCCATCTGTCAACACTTATTGTTGAGTTTGCTGAGTGGAGAGCGTCAGTCCTTACAACTCGGAACCGCCAGAAAGCAGCGGTGCAAGTCTACCTACGCACGCTGAAAATACGGTCTACAGAAGCTTGCAGTTTCGTTTGCAGAGCATGATGTCATAGGTCAATTCACATGCCCACAAGCACGCACCGGGATCCAATCGGATGTCCCTTCCGGGCGATTGAGTGAACCTCGCTAAACATGATAGGCAGGCAGCCGACTCTTCTGTACAGCGCAGCACGGCAAAGTCTGCCTGTCTGCCAAGCGTCGAGCCAGAGCCTCCATGAGATTGGTGCGAAACAATAAATGCTTTCCGCCCAGCCTTCACCGACGCCAAGAAAACGAGACGCGTTTCGCTAAAAAAAGCCGCTTTTCTGAGGTTGATTCGAACGGCAAAGCTTCTGTTTCTCCCAGCAGCCAAACTGCCGCTGATGGGTTGACCACGCAACGCAACTCGTTCCTTCTTCGAGTCGCCACGTAGTGACTCGCAAACCTGCAAACTTTTTTCAAAAGCATGCTCCGGGTCGGGGGAGCAGCATTACATCGTCGTCACATCGTCGTCCGGTCCCAAGAGAATATGCCGTCGTCTGCTCCCAAAGTAGTCCCAAACCCAAATACAGCAGGCTGCTTCTTTCGACCCTGTTTTTTAGGCTTGCTGGTGGCATAGCGGCCTCTGGTGAAACCCTCTAAGCACCTTCGTAGTAGTTTCTCCGCGTCGCCTATGCAGAGTTTTGCAAAGAAACACGGCGGAATTTGTCCATGAGTCTGCCTTCGAGTCGACTCATAAGCAGAACGAATCCGTTTCCCAGCGTCTTGCTCCCTAACTGTCAGAAACTTGCTTCAAGAGCCGCTGTCTGTCTCTCTCTCTTTCACTCTTCAAGTTACCAGCTCTGCCAATTTCCTCTCTCAACCTATACGCCGCCTACCTCTTACCACTCTCTTTCGTAAGAGCCCCCTTGCCCCACGTTGGTGGCAGTGTAACGCTCACCGGAAAATCTCGAGCTCTCACTCACTATGCCCGGCTCATACTCTGCTCAAGTGTCTTCTCAGCCTGCTGAAACCTCCTAACACCCGAGGCTCTACTACACCCGCCGATACTAGCACCTGAGACGCAATTCTATACGAGTTCATCAGCTGAGGCCTTGCGCAATAACTTGGACCAAAACTCGTCTTGACTAATGGCGGCGTTGGAACTGCCGCAGTTCACGTGCCTCGTGTGCGGAGCCCGCTTCCACTCATTGCAGGCCCTCGGCGGACACAAATCCGCGCACAACGGGGGGAACAGCTCCGCCGGGGGCAACAGGGGCGGCGGTAAGGGAGGGAGCGGCGGAAGCGGAAGAAGCTCCAACTCGCGCGCCCCTAGCCCGTGGTTTCCGCCAGGAGGTGGCGGAGGAATGCTGCTACACTTACCAGGCGAAGGCGGAACTACTAATAATGCCACGCGTAGCAGTTCATTTCCAGACTACTACTTTGTGAATCTTCAAGAGGAAGCTTGCACGCCTGGCAGTAGTAGTAAACGTGTCAGAGACGCTTTCTCAGCCGACGCCGTTGCTGCTGCTGCCGCCGCCGCACCCACCCATTCTTCTTCTGCTGATGCTGCTGCTGCTGAGGCTGCCGCTGCCACTGCTGCGGCTGTTGGTTCTGCTGGGGGAGCGGCATTCGTTATAAGCTCGAAATGGGGCACTGTGCGTCAGCGAGTGCAGCAGCACCCTCATAACGAGAGCACTTCTGCAGCTGCTGCTTGTGCTGCTACCAGTGCTGCTGCCACTACTGCTGGTGCTCGTTCCACCGCCACTGCTACTACTACCGCTGTTCGTGCTGCAGAGCCGCTAATGCTGGGTGAACCATACAATGCAGCAGAGAACCAGCTTCGCTGGCTTTCACGCCTCTTCCCATCCCAACTGCCAGCAACATTAGACGCCTCACCCTCTCCCCCCTCGTTACAGTCACCTGCTGACGCATACAGAGCACCTGCTGACGTGTTCAGAACACCTGCTGACGCATGTCATCCATCTGCCAGCTCAGCATGGAGGGAATCGTGGGGCGGAGCAGAGAAGGCGCGCGGCATGCCGCCCAGCGCCACGTGCACGTATCAGTCAAGGCTGCTGCAGCATGCCACGTGGCAGGACAATCCCTTGACTCCCTCTCATCCCTTCCAGCTGCCCTCGCAATCAGCCCACCACCTCTCTTTTCGTTCTTCTGCCAGCAGCCTGGACCCCCCTGAAAGCCTCATGCCTCCTCTGCAGCCATGCAACAAAAGGGTGGAGGGAAAGGGAGCAGCAGCAGCAGCAGCAGCAGCAGCAGCA